TAAGTGTCGGCTAAGTTACCGACATCGGTCTCTCTCTCTCTCTCTCGGGGAAAGGACGCCTCGCGGCAATCGATTTTTGAAAATTCTGTCATCTGACGTAAGCGAAGTGGAAAAAGGACGGGGGAGAGGGTTCATTTTTCTGCGTCTGTGCATGATGGGAAAGGATAAAAGGGAAGTGGAAGAAAATGCGAGATCGATCTGCGCTCACGAGTTAGCTTCAAATACACTCTCCAAGCTTAATTTCTCTTCGTGCATACTCGTATTTTCAAAAATGATTAATAGCACGATATGTACGTTTTATTATCGAAAACGATGCATTTTACAAAAGAAAAATCGCCCTATCCATTTTTCGCCAATTCGGGAATATTCTTTATATACGCGTAAGAGAGAGAGATTCTCCGAAAGAGAGCGAATAAAGGAAGAGATTCAGGTGCTCGAGAACTTTTGAAACGCAAAATAAAAGTCGTTAAAAGTTATTGGGTCACAAGAAGAAACTTTCGAAGTGAGCAATTTCGAAAATTTCGTAGGCGAGCCAGCGTGAGCGAGCCAATATCAACAAAAGAGCGAAGAACTCGTGTAATTGGCGAGAATTCCTTATGATTACGCGTCTTTCTGATATTTCTTACCGTCTATCCTCGGTAAAGTATAGAAAACTCGATGAGCCCCACCGAGGTAGATATTACGCGGGAAAATAGCGTCTTAAAATTCTGCAAGCAAATCGGCAACTGCACTAAAATTTGGAGACCGGCACAAAATTGCTACGGGTAGGATGAAAACTAGAAGCCAACTATTTCAAAAACTACGTCGGTGCATGGACGAAGAAATGAACAAAGTAGCGGTGCAAGAGCGAAAAGGGGTCTCTCTCCTTCTTTCTCTTCCTCGTTTTCTCGTCTCAGGAATTTTCGTATAAGTACAAAGAGCCTTCGAACATATCGCGCACATTCCCTCGCGGAATCTATCCGTTTCTCGCCACGTTTTGTCGAACGGGAATTATTCTTTGCCGATTTCAAGGCATTTATCTTTTCTTGCTTACGACGCAATCTTCGTTTTCTCGTATATTTGCTTGAAGAATTGAGAATCTTCGCGATGGAAGGGGCGTGGTACATATATATATATATATATATATATAGTAGAACGAGACAAAGAAAAAAAAAGAAGAAGGAAATATAAATTCGTTCGAGCTTGAATCGAGCTTCTCGAGCAAAGTCGACGTTTCTAATGAGAAGTAACGCGAATGCCAGCCAGACTACGCCAAGTCCGGCCCTTCCTCTTCTCGCTTCTCTCGTGCAGCGTAATGTAAAAAGACATTTCAAAAAGATGGCGCATAGATAAGATAGACGGAAAGATATATTTCGCGAAATATTACCGGTTGAAATATATTCGCTCTCATACGCTACGCTTTTCAGATCGAGAGAATACATTATTCTCAATCGATTTCCTTTCGCTTTACTTTGCAGCATGTCCCTTTGACTTCCCCTTGACATTTTCTGCCTTCTTCCTCTCCCGTCTCTTTAGCAGTACGTGCGGCGGAGCTGATTTTCAGATCGAGAAAAAGAAAAGATAAGAAGGGTGAAAGTAAGTTGAGCTTTTCAAAGGAAACCAGAAACTGTGTTGGAAATAAAATGAAAGTTACTGTGCTGGGAGTGCCGCGAGAACTCTTCCGGAGACCCTCTGACGTGAGCGGTTTTGCGAATTTCGTGATTAAGAGCAACAAGAAAACAGAGACTTGTGATGTAGAGTAAGACGAGCGTGTGAGGGAGGAGGATGCTACAAGTAAAGGACGCGATAAGGAAGGAAAATATCGACTTATGTACTGCTATCGAACTAGACGTATTAAAGATAAATATCGGAAAGCGAGAGTTATTTCTCGGCATTTAAGTCGTGTGTATTTCTCTCTCTCTTCGTGTGTATATATCATTTTATTTTAAAAAATACAATTTGTATTTTGCAAGATATTTATAATAAATAAGATATAGAAAAATATATTATAATTAATCAAATTAAGCAGCGCGATTTCAATTTCAAGTATACAGCGCTATAAACAATAAAATTTCATTGAGAAGAGAATCAATTAGTAGCTGATTTTTCAATGAAATCTTGCGGTAATCAATGAAGCATGAGCAAAATAAAGGAGCAAAGTGTAAATTGTAAATGTTTTCACGAAAGATCAGGAAAATCTCGTCACCATTTTAATCAATGACACTTTCACTAATTCAGTGTAAGAAAAGCGCGAGATTACATAACAATTATATTGTGCGCGAGATTACATAACAATTATATTGTGAGCGAGAAATTTTAAAAAATATTTCTAGAACAAGAAGTGCCATTTTCTGGAAAATAAGTTTATAACAAAGTGAGCACTATAGTCGTGGCGTGAGAGAATCTGTACCGTAGACGAGATTTCTGAAATCTCATCATTACAGACGATAACGACGATAATAGTCGCGGTAGAAACAACGAGTGACGAGGTAACAAAGAAAATTCTGGTTGTTTCTTTTTGATGCCGGTGCCCAGGGAGTCGTAAGAATAACACAAGTTGAAGGAATTATGTTTTCCTTTTGTCCGCGACGTGGACAAAGACTCGCCGAGGAAAATGGCAGACTCGTCGAGAGGAAGAATTCTTTGGTCTGACAAGAATGGAATAAAGGCCGAAAAAAAGGAAGGGAATGCTGCTAATTTTAGTATGAGGTGTAATCGCGTTAAATTAATAATTTCAGATGCGACAGTAGATCAAAACGTAATTTTATTTTTTAATTATTTAGTGATCCTTTTTTTCTTGGGCTCTTTCATATTTTTAATACTTTTAAAATATATGCAGCTTTATGCCGCATTTTTCAAAGCATACACAGATTTATACTTTATCTCTGACGAAACAGTCAAAGACTTTCAGAGCGCGAAAGCACATGCAGCATTTTTAATATATTATCATAAATGAAATACGTTCGACAAAGCGCGAATGCCTAAAATATTCAAAAGGTCAACATCAATATTGAAATATCCTTCAAAGTTTATTAAAAGATGCGTCTTCGCTATATAATTACCTGCTGACTATCAGCCATGATGAAACTCGAGCAGCATAATAAAGCGAAAAATGAAACGAGAGGAACGTACCATCATGGCGATCCATAGTATTGTTGTTTAGTGCAGGGAGAATAATGTCATCACGGTAACCGGCATTTTCTCCATGAATGCGAGACCCCGAGTAAAATTATGCTGCAGAATAGCTCAAAACATTTTGAATGAGAACAATAACGGACTTCATTTAAATTTTATTTTTATTTCTATAAGTTTTCAAGTATTGCTTTTGTTTAATCATATTGTCGGCGAATTAAATTTCCATGTAAATTAATGTACATAGCTAAATTATCAGAAAGAACAGTCTTTAAAAGTACCTATACGTATCAAGAAAATTATATATATTCATCTTGTTATAATAAATCAAAATTTACACGTATTTTCTCAAGGAAACTAAAGATATTTTAAATCGTGTAAAAAATGTAGTATTGATATCTTTATATAATAATACCATACACGGCAAATATTTCTACAAGTTTGTGAATGGTCTCTCAGTTACGCATTTATATTATTCATCATTATAAATCAACAAGTTTGTTGATTCATCATTGTTCGTTTTCGCATAAAATATACGTTCTCCACATTTTACGATTCAGTGGAAAATTCTGCTTGACAGAAAATGGGGCTGATCGATCTTTGATTGAATATATATTCAGAGAGGACATGCTGCAATGTATCGTGGAACTATACAAGATGCATCTTCGATTATGTTTGCTCGACGTTCAGCGATAACGCACTCGTCCGTGCAATCGTTTCCTCGATATCGCGACGTTGATCGACCGTTGTCGTTCGAGAGAGAGAGAGGGACTATTACTACTTGGTCGTTCCTTTTCAAGGGGTTCTCTCAAGGTCGATGACATTACGTCCCTTTTAATTGGCGACGCATGCGCGCGGCAGAGGGTGCCCTCGCGATTTAATGCTCTGGGCGTGAGCAGTCACGCATTTCACGCGGACGAAATAGCCTCTTGAATTAAGCAGAGCACGGACCCAGAGGCATCTGGAACGAGTTTACCGGGGCTCATGCATACGTTTACGCGGTCACCCCCGATCCCGGGATCCATAACCGCGGTCGCGTCCCGTCGTTCCATCATCCGCGATCCAAATCACGAACGAGCCACCAAATCCCAGCTCGTATCGAATCACCTAGCCCCGTTTCTTTCCTTCCTTTTCCATAACCGTAGACGAGAGTTTGATCATTTCACAAATTAGTGGATTACACGCGCTCGAAATCTTAATTCGCAATTTACGTGTTACGGCGGCATGGCGGAGCTCATTAATGATAAGATATGCATCGGCTCTTATTTGCATGACGCGTAACGCGTCTTGGGCCGATTCTTGGGATGCGAATTCTAACGGCGAACGCCCACGGGATATCGCGCAAACGCGAATTAATCCTTTCATAATGATGGATGAGTTATCTCGATCTAATGCCGCCGTCTCGCGCTTTAGATGAGATCTATGTCGCGATCTCACATCGTCTGTCTGCCACTTTGGACAGGAATATATGGTGGCTATATAAGATACAGGTTACACACGAGAGAGAGAGAGATATTAACGATATTACTTTGGAAAGATTGAATGAAAGTATTTCGCGAATATGTTAAATCGAGACACAAGGAAACTATATATTTTAAATATATATATATATACAATATACGTCTACGGAATATATATTTCTCTTGGTTCGGTAAATATGTAATTGTATTTCGAGGCGAGCACCTCGGAGAACGAAAGAGGATGTTAAAAAAGTAGCGAATGTGGTCCTCAAATTCGGTACTATTTTAACATTCTCCTTTACCGAGTGTCAGAATGGAAATGTGTGGCAATTTTCATTATACCGTTCTCTTTCAAATGTATTTTCAAATATGTTAAATATGCTAAAAAAAATCGAAAATGAACAGAAAAATTATTTCTTTCTTTTGCAGATTATCAGGGAGCCTCCCACATCCGCCCATCGGCACGAAGCCATTCTGCAAAACAAACAGGTACGAAGAAGCACGTTCTATTCAGCTAACAATCACATCATCCGGTTCTTAAATGAGAATAATGAAGTGTACAATCTGTACATATACGTACATGTGCGATTTAATTTGAGAAATATTTCTACCCGTGCACACGTAATTCACACGGGCACTAGTCTCGTGTTCTTGCGGGACTATATCGCGAGGGATCGTATTATAGCTCGCGAGAAAGCGACACGCGCGCGTCTCTCTATTCCGAAATGGCTTATGAGTGCGATTTCGGTCGACCAAATGTAGTCCCCCGGAATAATAGTTGGATGCAGCACGAGGGAATTCGCCGAATACACTTTAACCAGATTACATACGCTCCGAATTGCGAGAATCGTTTTATGTGTACACGCACGCGCTCTATATAATTAGAGAAATACTCCCCCTCTTCGTTCGAAGTAAGCCGCTTTACTTCTTATCCGCGCAGTGATTCTCGACAAATTATTGGATTTCGCGAAGGGACTTTTACGTTAGCCTATAATAATATTCTATTAATTAATTTATATACTTCGTAACGGCGTGATTTATTCATTCGACACACGCGGTAACAAAAGCTTTGTGTGTGCGTAATGGGATTTAAATATTAATTCCTATCTCCGTGCGTTTAATTGATCAAGCGTTAATAAAATAAATTGAGAAGACGGGATATTAATAAGAATTAATAAAATGAATATGATCTTATAATAAGAAATATTGAATTATATCACAATCGAAGTTATATTAAGTGCAACCGTTCGAATCTGTCGCAGCCAGCGTCGCGTCGATAACAAATTTATAATGCACCCAGAGAGAAAGAGAGAGAGAGAACAATGTCATAAAATATCGAAATATTGGATCCGGATAAACATTTGAAGAAAATTTGATTTCAATATTAATCATATTCTTAAGCGTGTGTCGCGAAAAACAGTTCATTTCGTATAATCGATATCACCGTAGTATTTATCCGCTCATCTTCATATTATTCTGTCCTTTACGAGCAATAGATGATAAATTTTTCCAAGTATGTCGTATCCCCCTTCGAATATTTCTAGTCGAGGGCTATTCCACCAGCTCGGAGAGCCTATAACGATCGAGTTACTCTCCCGCGCACGTGAAGTATAACTGCATACATTATACGATTCTCTATCATGCCGCTCGCTATGCCTCTCATCAAATCGAGGAACGTGATATTGAGATGTGCGCGAATTGCAAATGAATACGATGATAATAGGACGAGATTGGACACACAACGAGCTTTTTCTTCAACATACTTTCGTGATTGCGTTAACCGTCGAAATACCGAGGAATGATAAAAGGTAAACGCGAGGGCAATACCTTATTTATCCACGGGAAAAGTCAATGGAGAGAAGACCATCACCATAGTATGTAAATCAATTCTTCCTCGCCTAGAGCGTTACGTGGATAAAGTTGAGAAATAGATTTGAGTAGAATATCTTTAGGAGATGGGTGCGCGCGCGAGCTCTCTCTCTCTCTCTTTTTCGTTTGACGTTAAATTTTCTCAGAATACTGGAGCGGATTCTCTCTCTTTCCGCCGAAGATAAAATGAGAGTCGACTCGAAAGTGGCGAGGGGATCGCGCTAGTAGTAGTATGGCGCAGTTTTTTAAGGAGATGAATAAATGAGTACGACGACCTCGCAAAGAGAGTAACCCCGGGCAGGGTCTCTCTTCTTCTGAACCAGTCGCCTACAGGCGATTTCTGTCACCGTTTCTCCTTACCTGCCGCCGCCGCGCTACGCAACATCAAATATTTCACGACAAACGCGAGACAGCGGGTCTGCTAAACAGACGGCTTTTGACAAATTCCCAAGCGAATGACGTATAATCGTGTCGCGCTGTATTCCGCGCGCAACGAATCGTTGAAAACGAACCTTCCGGTGTTGTTTTGCGCGTTAGAGTTTAGTCTCTCCCTCTTAATGGAAAACAAAACGGAAATGTGTACAAGTGATTCCCCTCGCGAATTCGCTCGTAATCTTCCACGCGCTCGCGATGCTCGTTTTCGTTTTCCTTCGCCGCGATCAGTCCAGACATATTCGGGGAAATCGATATCGCAGGAAGCCAATATAGACACATTCGTCCAACAGTTAAACCAGTTCTTATCGGGTAATGTTAGTTCGTTCATTCAACAGGCTGAGGAGAGCCCTGGGCTAGTCCCGCGCCAGCGGCTTTGGTTCATTGATTTTTACTGGCTTTTCTTCGGGATGAGGCACGCGAGGAACGACCGTGTGCGCCTCGTTTTGTTCCTTGTGTAACGCAATCATATATTCCGCTCGCCTTCGGTAAAAGTAATAAAACAAATCCGAGTGAAATAAATTAGATTGACTAATTTTTTGATATAATGTTATACAATTTTAACTCTATACTTTTAGTGTAGCGCAGAAAAGTGCTATATGGGAGGAATGGATACATTTTTTTCTTTTCCGAGTTTATACATGTTTGAATATTTTGGCATCATAACTTTGGAGTACAATGCATTGTGTCTTATTTTTATTTCTGCTTTCGGGAGAAGAGAGAGGGATATTATTTTTCTATTCTCTATTTTTATAATTTCCACTCAATCAATCACTTTTCGATGCACGGTTAACCGCCGAATGTCAAACTGTCAATACGAAATTCATCACCGAGCCGAATTTGCACACACGATTCATACGGTTGGCAATCAATCAATATTGCAAAAAAGACGATAATGATACTTAAAATATTTCAGTCTCATGTTTTAATGGTAAGCGTGACAAATTTGTGAAAAATTCATTTTTATTTTTCACATAATTGTGAAGCTTTTAATGCTAAAAATAATCCGAAATTAAAGAGATAAAATATTACTATTTAAAATACCGCGATTTATAAATAAATGTATAAATGTATTAATAAGAGTGTTCAAAGAAAAAATTTAAATACATTTATTTATAAGTTTTATTTTACCGTATAAAAATTAATCTAATTTGTAACTTTTATTTTACTGTACACTTCGTACTTAAAGTGGATTGTATAAATTATGAACCTAGATGATTGGAGTGCGTCAAATTTTAATATATTTAAAATTTAGTAAATACATTTAATTAATATATAGTTAATGTTAGATATACAAATCCATATTTCACAATTTTTAGAAGATTAATAAAAAATTAACGAATCAGAGCGAGCAGGCATAGATCATCATAACACGGAGAAAATTATGTCATGCGCTAATAATAACCATTCATTTGATATAACTTATAAATGAACACAGAGAAGCACAGGTAAACACAGATAGACAACAAGATATTACACATATTCAAGTCTGCCGAAAAACCAAAATCACTTACAAATCATTGTACTGATCATTCATACTTAAATATTGCGGAAAATGAACTAATTCCGAGCTTAATATCACATTCAATAGCACAATATAAGCTCTCGCCATATTTCATGGAAAATTGAAAAATACAAGGATGCAGGACTTAATCGAAGAGAGAGAGAGAGAGAGAGAGAGAGAGAGAGAGTTTAGAGCAAGAATAAAGTAGGTATACATAATCCGTAAGATTTACTTTAAATATAGAATGGGGTGTCTAAGGCGATTTTACAAATTACGGATTTACACTTCTTCGGAAGTCTTCAATTTGCCTACCGTCGGATTTTCTCGAAATCATAGTATACGAAGTTATGCTCACACCTGTCTGACCGTGAGACCGCGAAACAGGAATCTGCAGCAAAGTGGAGGCGAGTGGAGGAAGATAGCGCATTGCCATTTTAGGGGGTTAAATAAATAAGCGCGACCCGACTCTCATGATCCGGTTGAGAATGGCCTTCGGCCAGTCCCGTTTTCACCGGCGGTTTCTGTCCATTGATTTTTGTCCGTTTTCCCGTCCGCGTGGGGCGAAACGACACGCCATTACACCACTATGGCAATTACGCGACTACGTTAAGCATTTACTACGTCGGCTTTATTATCATAGCCAACGCGCGGGCCGCGCGCTTTTGCTTTGCACATATACTCACGTATAACGAGCATACGGCAGTACGCGAGAGTGGACTATTATAAATTCATACTTCCAATATTGTCATACCATGCCAGATTTTATTCCGAGAGAGAGAGAGAGAGACTTAATCATTCATTTACGGAATTACAAATACAAATGTTAGCCTTTCCGCAGAGATGTATCTCTCGACAATCGTTCCGCGTAAACCACAAATTCTCCTTCTCCAGTCAGCTTCTTTGCCTTGTTGATCTATTTTATTTGCATCGGATCATCTTTCCGATCGATTCACGAACCGGATTTTCCAACGTTTCGGAGCGTCGAAAACTCGGGATACAGTTGAAGGTATTATGGTTATGAATATAGAAATAAATCCAGAAACAGAGAAGTCGCGTTTTATTTGGATTGAAATATTAAAATAGAATTTTTTAAGTTTAATATAGAATTCTAATTTAGTGCGACTAAAAATGTCAGAGATTATTTCAGTTTAATTTTCAATTTAATATTAAGCAACAAAGTAAGCGTATCTAAATTTTATTTAATAAAGTTTTACTTAATTCCCGATTTGAAAGGCACGAGTGAATCTTGCAAGAATTAAAAATTCCAAAAGTGATGGTTATTTATTTTCCACGTTACATAACTATCCAATTGTTTGACATTTCTTAATGTTGTATATAATAGTACAATTCTGCTTCCTAGCTATTACATTTCTTGCGCAAACAAAATATAACGAATTCTGTCGAGGAAAATGGAAATTCCTGAAGTTTCCGTATTTCTATTCCCCCTGCAGGGCAATAGGATTTACTAGCACTGTTTTCGGCAGTCTTGCTTTATGAAGCAATAACTCTCAACGATAAATCGGAAGTTGTTATGTAAAACGATATTATAAAAAAAAATATTGGAAACATTTCCCGAAAATTAGATATTATACCGAAATTTTTTTCTAAAATATATCCGCTGTACATAAAAAAATGTTTAGAAATCATTCCTATATTGCATAACTAGCTCTATATATATATATAT